TACCAATCACGATACCTGTGGTTTACAACATCACCTAAGTTCACTGCATTAACTAACTAACAGTGTTAGTTAATGTTAATGATAAATAACTAATAAGTAATTATTCATAGAGCCATGTACCTTTATACTTCTACTTTTTTCCTTCACCACAGGCGGTTAGCAGGCAGCTAACCTTCCAAAGCTCCACCCCCTGAGCAGATGTGGGAGCTCACTTATCTTCAAATGTAAGCTAAGTATTCATTCCCTTCAAATCCAGCTGTATCCCAGAATAGGTCGCAGGCTTTTTTCATTATGTGATGTATGAATATGAATGGTGATTTATGACAGCAAGCCGTCATTGCTTCAGGCCTCCTGCAAGTCCAAACCTCACAAACCTTCATCTGCTGTAAGTGTTGGACCACATGGAAATATGCTAACAGCTAGCTATCTGGAGTTATTGTTCAGCAAACACGCTCTGTGGGCATCTACAGCATTAACAATGATTTGTTCTCTGGTTCTTCTCATTATCCTCCAGTGAACAGTCCGAAGGCTTAAACTGTCCCTGTTTGATGACATATTTCAGACTCTGGTTATTCCAGCTGTGGAAGCCTGACAGGTAAGCTTAGTCTGTACCTTTGCTGTTTCATGCTGCTGGGATTTTATAAACTGTGGTGTTATCAGTGTGTGTTTGCCTGTACTGCTTGCTTCTTTTTCTGCATTTAGCTTTAGTTTGAAGGTGGAATTAAAAACAGGTCAGTATAAAAAAATTGAGCCTTCAGGTTTGAAAAGTGAAGCTAATGGAGAATCGCCTTGAACCTCCATTCTCTTCATTGGCCCCTGTTTTCAAAACGACTTCTGTGGAACTGAATTTATGAGTCATTTTCTAAATGAGTCATTTTTAGAGTCAGAAAGCAGGATGTGTCCAAGGTTTCGTTAGATCTGCTCGTTGATGATGATGATGATCAAGAAAACTCCAAACTCAACTCTTGCTTCATAACGAAACGTCGCCAACAGATGTTCGATGTCACCAATATCACATTTGTTCTGACTGTGCCTGTAAAAGCTGAAACACTTGATTTAAACTGAGCCCCCATCTCATTAAAGATAATCTACCTGTGTAGCCACAGCTCATGTCGAGGCCACCTGAAAGATTTGGATCTTTCTCAGGTGGTCCGGCTCTGATGACTTGATGGTGGGCATGTCTGAGCACACTGCATCTCAAACTGGTGACCCATTGCCTCATATTTTATTATGAAAAAAGAGCAAAGTTGCTATTTTTATGCTTCTCCTGCCTATAAGACGGAAAGTGCTCCAGTTCATGTCTGAAGCCCACAGACATCAGACTGACTGTGGGGGGAGTGCATGAATGGTGGACAACCTGCCAATGTTGGATTAAACAAAGAGATGAAAATGCTTCTGGTCATGCATCTGCTTTCTTCAGGCTCGAGACTGCTGTTTGGTTTCTGGATGAGGTCAGCGACCTAATCAAAAACCCACTTATAGAAGCTTTTAGGTGCAGCTGATCACACTTTGTGCATTTTAGTCAATTTTAAACTGTACTGGAAGCAACTGCACACATGTATGTACCCTTGAAGTATACACGGATTTCATGGCAGCTGTTGTATTTGACGTGTTAGACATCTATAACGATTGTACGGTGGTATAATGATGATAATACTTGTGAAAAAGCACGGTGGGCTTTCAAATTACAGAACTCTTCTAAGTCTTTAGTATTTAGTGGTGAAATGTTTTTGAAAAAGCATAAAGATGTTAATAATCTGATGTTCATGCAGAGTAATGTTGAGATTCACCCCACTGTTGAGGAGATGGGCTACATACAGACCTGTTTACATGCATATTAATACCACTAAAGTACGTTTTTTTGTTCTTTATCAAACAGCAACTGAGACAGGAACCAACAAACCACAGCAGCTCTCTGGCGACATCAGTGAAAGGACTCCGGCATGAAGTGAAGGTGACTCCAGTTTCCGACAGCACACAGCTGATGATGGAAGTTCCAAAAAAACCAATAACACAGTTTTCCAACATCTTCTGTTGATGTTTCGGACTTTTTTAGTACTTTGGCCTCGTGTTGCTTTTCTCAGTCTAAGCTAAAGTTACTCATTCACAAATGTAACACAGACGTTGTCACTGTGACCGAACCGAGCGACCGATTGTGTCAGAGTGACACAAGTGGCATCATCAGAGCGTGAATACAAGAAACCACCAAAGTATTAGCTACACACAAGCAGACTACAGCTCAAGTCTGTTATGTCTGCAGCTGCTGTCTGTGCGTTTGTCCACAGAGCAGCAGGAACAATGACTTTAAAGCAGGAAAATCCTGGAAAAAATATCGGAATTCGATCATTTCCAGGAAAAAACAACAAATCTTGATAAGGTCAGTGAACTGTAGCGCACACAGAGGTGGGTAGAGTAGCCAGAAATTGTACTCAAGTAATAGTAGCACTACTTTTAGTCAAGTAAAAGTAAAAAGTAGCCGTCCAAGAAATTACTCAAGAAAGAGTAAAAAAGTATTTAGTAAACAAGGCTACTTGAGTACTGAGTAACTGATCATCACACCTGATTTCATATTTAAAAATGAGACAATCAGACAAACAAAAATATAAAGTTTAGAGCAAATTTTGGGGGCCTCTCCAGGCCTCGAGTGCCGGTGTCCTGCAGGTTTTAGATCCCACCCTGGGTTAACACACCTGAATCACATGATTAGTTCATTATCAGGCCTGTGGAGAACTTCAAGACATGCTGAGGAGTCATTTAGGCCTTTAAATCAGCTGTGATGGATCATGGACACATCTAAAACCTCCAGGACACCTGCGCTCGAGGCCTGGAGTTGCCCACCCCTGGTTTAGAGCAAATTTTGGTATTTGAAACACTGAAAAGCAAAAAAAAGAGTACATATTAATAATATCTGGAGTTTCATTTCTTTGCTCTCCAAATGACACAACAACAAACTTTATGCACAAACAAAACGTCTCACGTTGACAGAAACTGTAGGTTTGTGTCTCTTTTGGTTTAGTTGTGTTTATTATTCATTCAGTGACGTCACTCACACTCAGCAGCCAGAAATGTTTTCACATATTTCTCATATTTCTCAAGTAAAAGTAAAACGTACAGTGTAGTAAAACTACTCCTAAAAGTATTTTTTTCCAAAAAGTTACTCAAGTAATTGTAAATAAGTAAATGTAATTAGTTACTACCCACCTCTGCGCACAAGCCTGCGTCTTCTAACACGTCTCCACTTCTGAGCGGTGCTGGGATTTTCTGTTTTGAATGACAAGGAACACAGCAAGTAATCTAGTTTTATTTATATGGCACCGAATCACAACAACAGTGATTTCAAAGGGATTCATATCACAAGGTGAAGACCCCACACAATACAATTATTGCATTATTCTGGAGTATTTTACTTTTGCTACAAAGGTGAACGTCTGACGTCCTGGCGAGAGAGCCACACATGCTTAATGAGCTCAGCGCTGTGCTGCAGATCAGCTCATCAGAGCTTTTACTTCCTCAGTATCAGTGACAGGAGGCTTCCTGCTAGATCAACATTAACCTCCTAGGATCTGGCGTCCACATATGTGGACGTCACATTTTGGGTCGTCTAGATCAAAATACAAAGTTTTGCTCTACAAAGGCCTGATATACACTTACGAGGACATTATAGTGTAAAAATCCAGTAATTCTTTGTTTTTACAGTCATCAGGTCCCAATCAGCCCAAATAGCAAAGAGAAATTAAAAATGAACATAACAGTTCTATGAAGATGTTTTAAATGGCCAAAAAGGACTGGATTGATTATAGGTACAATCAGTCAGACACAACCCCGTCATAAAGCCTGTTGTCTACAGCCGACCAACAACATTGGCAAAGATATCGCAAATGAAACGCGCAGTAACGCAGACGATCACGAACACCACGTCCTGAAACAAAGCTCCAGCTGCAGGTGATGTGGGCCCTAAAGGTGTCTGTCACAGCTGCTGTCAGTGTCAACGCAGGTGTGTGTCTCACTATGGAAAATTACGTTTCTGGAGATGCTGATTGCAGCACAGGGTACCACAACGACAGTTTGAAGTGCTTAAGGAAAAATTGTCGTGCTTGCGCGTGTGTCTGTCTGTTGATTTTGTCAACATGTTCATGTCATAACCGTGTAACATGCAATCTTTCACAATTCCAGCACAACTGTCAAGACAGCTGAAGGTCGGTTGAAGGTGGGTGTAGCCCCATTGTTTCTGAGCCGGAGTACACCGCACTCAGGCTCGGTAATCACCACAAGTAAGGGCTTAAGCACTGACGGGTCAGGAAGTCAGCATCTTATTATAATGCTGCTGATGTAATCGGATCACAACATCGGCTTGGGATCACTCGGATGCTGCTGATGCTTTCTATTAATGTCGGTGTCGCTGTTCCCTTTATCGGGCTGTTTTCCCAGATATCACTGCCTCCCAGTCAGCGATGTGATATGTTAATGACTTTTATTCACTCTTTCAGGCACAAACAGATTCTTTTTGATCTAAACGGTTCCACTGAACGTTGGGGACAATTTTCCACAAAGACATGGAAAACCCACCAAATATTTTTCGTTAAAAGGTGTTTGAGCGTTGCAGCTTACAGATGTAATGTTATGAAAACAAGCTGATGTGAATCATAAACTGTAACCTTGAGAAGATGCAGACGCAGCTGAACTTTTAGGGTGTGGACTGATGTGTTGAACAGTGCATCAAAAGCAAATAAGGGAATAACTTTTGGAAAATTTTGCTTTTGCCGAAGCAACATTTTCCGATCTTAAGTCAATGAAACTGTGAAGCAAGAGCGGCACTGAAAACCTGAAGGACTCATTTTGTGCAAACTGTTACTCATCTGAGTAATGATATCAGGATGAAATGTGATTTGATGGACAAACTGGGTTTTGGCACTTTTATGGACTTAAATCAGATTTTATGCTTTAACAGCTGAGAGACAGAATTGGGAAATTGCATCCAATGAAAATCCTCAGCTTCCTTGACATGGCTGAAATGGCTGATTCATTTGATGGGTTAATGTGGGAATATTGGGAGGCATGATGAAGCTGTGAGAAATTCATAGATGTACTGTGAAAGGCTCGGTGATGTTAAAGATTAGGAAAGGACGCTCAAACCAAAGTGCGTACTTCCTAGACTCCTAAATCTAAAGCAGGCCCACTCCCAACGACAGTCCACAACTATTAAGTGTTTAGGAGTACTTGTTTTAATACACAGTCCTTCAGTTTCAGAGCAAAAACCAACAGAATTTCAAATATAACAATTGTTCTGAATATCTGGATGATTAAGTGACTGACTGGGTATCAAATGATATCCTGTTTCTTTGCCGTCACAAATTCTTGGGTTGCGTCATTAAGCGTTTGCACTGCAAAGCGTT